TTATAAACCTAGTCCACCCTCTCCCCCACTCCTCCCCACCAACATCCTTCATGGTATATAATTTTCCTTGCATATTACAAAACTTTTTGCCTTCCAATTGCACAACTTTCTTGTTAGTTTGCTGAGGCAATCTCTCTAAGAATTTATAATCTGATGAATGAATCAACCCTTACGATGGTGTTACTAAATACACATATACAATGGTGGCCATTGTAATGGCAAGGGGCCTCTGGAGTTGGGTGTTCTTGATCCAGTTACTGTAACAACTTAGGATCATGAAAACTTTAGAAAAGATGCTGTTGTCCCCCCATGGGCCTTCATAGGAGTGTGTGTGTATGGAGGAGTGTTCAGCCAGATAACATTCATAAAGATGGTGTGACCCCAGTTGTTCGCATGGCAGCCAGTCACACCCACCATGCTCCACTCCCTGTGACCCTGGTTTATTTRTGTAACTATGCCAAGACACTGGACAACAAGCCAAGCAAGGCTGTACGGACTCTGTAGACTTTATTGCAGTGGTCAGTTTCCCTCTTTAAAAGGGGAGCAATATTTCATGTATTTCTGGTCAGGAGGCAGGTCAGATTTCCACAAAATCTTAACCTGGTTCTTCTATCCATCATGGTCCAATTAGGAACATAAAAACTGCACCAGTTACTTTAACAGAAGTAGTTTATTATAAGAACTGAAAAGGCAAAAGGAAAATGCCAAGGAAACAGAGGTGGCAGCTGAAGGAAGCAAGTGAAAGTAGAGTTAGTAAGGGGATGAGGTGACAGTTACTGGAACCTAAAACTTTGGAGGAGGGGCCCTGCAGAGGTGGAACCCAGACTTCAGAGGAAAGAGTGTGGTAACAGCTGTTGCTGGCATCTGTAAGGGGCACAATAAACACTGGTTCTGAGCATGAGAAAAAACTGGAAGTGTAACTGCAGGGACGAAGAGCTGTCACCTCCCTGACACTTCAGGCTCTGGAAGCTCTGGCAAGCAGTCCCTCCTCCTCCTCCTCTTGTCTGAAAGGCTTCCTCTAGCGCCCTCTGTTGGCRGAACTTAGCCAGGTGTCCGCTAGCAAAGCAGAAAGTGGTTAGCAGAATCCTAGCCCCAGCAGCCATGGGAAGCTAACACAGAACTCTAGTTTGGGCTATTATAATCAATGCTATTATGAGCATTCTTGTRTATATTTTTGATGAATTGTGCACTCATTTTGGGCGGTTTCATACTTTGGAGTGAAATTACTGGATTTAATAGATACAGACATTAAATGTTCTGGTGGGTGTTTTGTGGAATCTGGTGATTTCAATTTGCATTTTTCTAACTACTAATGAAATTGAGCATCTTTTGCCATTTGGAGTTCTTTTTAGAAGGATGCTTGGTTACATTTCTAGCCCATTTACTGTTTGATTTTAGATCTCTTATTGCTCTGAGTGTATGTTGGGGGGGGTAATATATTCTAAAGGATTTTTTTTTTTTCTGTGTTGGGGAGTGAACCCAGGGCCTTGTACATGCAAGGCAAGCAATGTACCCCTGAGCTACACCCCAGCCCTTTTAATACATTTTGTTGATATATGCCTTTTTGATTACAGATGATGCCTGACTTATGATGATTCCATTTAGCCGTAGTATGAAAGAAATATAAATTCAGTAGAAACCATATTTGAATTTTGATATTTTCTTTGGCTAGTGGAATGAGGTTCCACAGCTTGTCACATCTCCCAGTCAACCATACAATTTCCAAGGGAACAACTGCTACTCTATGTGTGATATCTGGTAGACTAGGTGTATTCAATGTATTTTCAGTTTATGAGATTTTCACCTTCTGATTAATTTAGTCTGGATTAATTTAATCTGCCTACACTTCAGTGTTATGAATGAGTTTTGTTTCAACTTCTGGCTGTACTTCTCAGGGTGTATTAAGATTTTAATGGTTTTATACTCACCTGTTGTGTCATTTTGGTGGCTCCCTCACAACACCCCATTTCAAAGGGTGTATGAGAAGAGGGTACCTGTATTTTCAAAAGGATCTCAAGAGTTCCAGGGGCTCAGCTAGTCACTATGAAGTTAGCTGTGGTTTCTGGGATGTGGATATGGAATTTACTTTCATCCAACTTGGACCCAACCCAGAGGTTTTGAACCACCAAAGCTTCAATACAACTGTCAAGTTATTTAGGCCGGCTTGATTTATGCAACTTGTTTTTTTCACCTCCTATCATCCTTAACTATTTCTATTTTGATTCCTGGATCACTTTTTTTTTTTTTTGTAGTTTTTTTAAGTTAAAAAAAAAAACCAGTTGTCTCTGTCCCTTCATAACTTGTCAGTGTAGTTAATGAGGCTGGTTTTGAGTTACTGCTTCTGTCCCCACTGATAACCTAACTGGCTGGTCATAGTATCATCTGGAGGGTACTCCTAACCTTGGAGCTGGCTCTGGTCCTCTGTTTCACTACCAGGCAGCTGATCACCTGCTGGGTCAGGGACTCCGGTCCCACAAGGAGGCAGCATCCTCACCTTCCCAAGCCAGCCTGGATATGACAGCAGGGAAAAGGATGAAACTCAGGCTCAACCAAGAAGAGAGAGATGTTGACTCCCCATGTCCTGGGAGAAGAGATAGCTTCAGGAGAGGGTCCCTCAGAGTTCCCGGAGAGCAAGAAACTCAATTCAGGACAAGTGGGGTCTTTGACACATGTGATGAAATTTCAGCCCATGTCAATGGAAGCACAGGTTTATTTAGGAAAGCAAGGAACACACATTCAAGGGAAAACGTGGGCCATCACCAACTCCCCTTTTAAAGAAAACCTGGGGGCTGGGGTTGAAGAGCTCAGTAGTAGAGTGCTTGCCTAGCACATGTGAGGCACTGGGTTTGATTATT